CTAACATTGTGATTTTTTTGTGGTTTTGCCACTTCTGTTACCACCATGGTTATACATCTTTTAAAGTATGGTTTATATTTATATAAGATTTAAGCCTCTGGATTATTAAATTTTATTATTATTATTATTTTTAGTGGGAGGCATTTAGGCTTGCTTGCTTATTTATTTATTTATTTATTATATTTAATGGAGGTACTGAGGATTGAACCCAGGACCTCATGCATGCTAAGCATGCACTCTACCAGTGAGCTATATTCTTCCCACTAGCTTATTTTTATGCTGAATATTTATCAATAGACACATACTTTCTCTTTATAGTTAAAAAAGAAAAAAACATTTGTCGTAACTTTTAAGCTGGTTTAAGGTTTAACATGTTTACAGTAATAAACTTAAATTGTATTGGAAAAATATGTCTGTCAAGGACACAGCCTGCCCCAATGTGCTATTCATTTGCATCTGCTGGGAAACCCAATTATAACAGCTATTTTCAAGAACTCATATCACTGGAGACTGAGCAGAGTGACCCTAGTAGAGCAAGCAGATCACAGTGTGTCCTAAAAATCTGACCTAGACAGGGACATGTACATGGTGAGCTCACCCACATTTTGTTATTCTCCGATGAAATTCTACATTTGATCCAAATTATCATCACTGATATTGATGTAAAATGAGACTATAATTACTCACTCTGCTAATTTTAATTCTTGTGTGTCTCAGGTGAAGTTAGGTGCTAAAATTGTTTGCCATGGGTCCCAAAAGCTCCTTTTTAGGTTGGACATGGTAAGTTTCACAACCAAATACTTTGGTAAACCTTATAGAAGACTGGCTTAAAGGGAAAGAAGTAGGGCCCTAATCAGTTGTTGTTGCTGCTTCTTTAAGATCCATCTCAATGCAACCTTTACTGAGTCCACTCCAATCCAGAGCAGGACACACACCATGTTTACATGAGGAACAAGGGTCCTTCTTCTCAATCATTCCTTGAATGGCAGGCTTATTTAGTGGACTAATTTCTCTCTAATTTCTGTTACAACTTACATAAGAGCTGAGGGTTCTTTAATTTAAAATAAAAATTGATAATATTTGACATAGGCTTTCTAAGTTTACCCATGTGAAGATTACCACAGTGTAAAAGCTGCTCAGTGAGGTGGCATGTGTCCTTGTCTTCCTTCTGCTCCTAACTAGTTGCGGAATCTAGGGAACAATCTCTACTCTTTCTGAATCTTGTTTCCTCTTTGTTAAATGAAACAGATTTCAAAAATGTTTCTCTGAGGCCTCTTCTCCATTGGAGACTTTAATGAAGATGAGATCTCTTTCCTCTTGCTATTTAGATGGGATGTCTCCCCACCACTCTCTTCTTGCTTCTCACTTCCTGCCAGAGCTTGTGACTGTAACACCGTTAATGGTGACAGACTAACTAATGCATCTGTCCGCTCCGCCATCATGATTCCCCTAGACTGCTGATATGGCCTTTTATTTTATTTTATTTTATTTTTTTAATATGGTTCTTTTTTATTGAAGTATAGTCGATTTACCATGTTGTGTTAATTCCTGGTGTACAGCATGGTGAGTCAGCTATATATATATATTCCTTTGCCTATTCTTTTTCATTATTGACTATTATAGAGTATTAAGTATTGTTCCCTGTACTATACAGTAGGACCTTGTTTAGCTATTTTATGCAGCCTGTTAAACACATTGCTTCTCATTCATTCTCTGTTTAGGTCCCACTGAATAGTTCTATATAAAGAATCTTACTTTTAAAAACACCGTATCTTATCATTTCACTTCTCTCCTTAAAAAGATAAAAATGGCTTCATGTGGTTTTGCAGTCTGAATCCCAAATCCTTAACATGGCTTACTGGATTCTTTACACTTTAGTCCCAGACTATACTTCTGGCCTCTTCTCATGTCACCCTCTTCTCTTACTTTGCTGCAGCCTAGAGTTGTCCCACAGAAGACTGAGATGATGGCTCATTGCAAACGACTGCTTCATTTTAGTTTAAATCTGCTGCAGTAGGCACAAAGAGAAACTTTTGTGAAAGGACACCTGGTGATACCAGGCTGAGGGGTGTTGCTGGGTGTGGCTTCTTAAGTCTTCCCATTCCTTCATGGAAGGTGTGCTCAGTTTTGTGGTCATGAAATTTTTCCCATCCAGGTTGAGGACTGGTTTGTCTATCTCCAAACGTGTTCCCCAAAACTCCAGAATAGGTATGCTACATGGTTGCAAAATTTTTCTGGCCATATCTTGGTTTTAACATCCTAGTTCTGGGGACATATTCTTCATAAGCTAACAAGGTCATCTTGTTGCATGATTCACAAGTTATATATTAATGTTTAGGTATCACACTATGATACCTACATGGGGCAATAACCAGTCATGGACAAGCACACTTGGTGATACACTAAGGCCTAGGATGGGGTCCCACTGTGAGCCTGGCTAGGGGCTACCACACAACCAGGTGGGTCTTGGCTCAGTTCTGCCAATGCCATGCTCCTTCCCACCAGAGGCATTCACCGTGCTGTTGATTCTGCTTGAATCATTCTTCCCAAACTCCACTTTACACCTTTCTTTCCACTTAGATAATTCCTAGTCATCATTCACATCTTCTCAATATTCAAGTCACTTCCTCTCAAAACTCATCTTATTCTTTCAGACTAAGTTGGATGTCCCTTTTTGATGCCTCCATAATACCCTTAACATCTCCTATAGAATTATTACCCTTCTAGTTCAATGACAGTCACCACTTTTACACTGTAAACTCTTTAAAGGCAAAGATGATCTAATTCATGCTAAAGCCCCTAAAGCAGGGAGTCTGGCATGTAGCAGTCTGCCACCCAATAGAAGACCTGTTACTCAAATAAAGGGAAGAATGAATGATGGAAGAGGAAGACAGATGAGAGGAAGGAGAGGACCACAGGGAGGGAGAAGTACTTCCTGAGGATGCTGATGGTGGAACAGCAAAGAACTGGGAGAGAAAAATGAAGGTTTCCTGTCTGGCCCTCGAGCCTGACTTTAGCTTCCAAAGAGGTGTAACTATTAGATAGACTCTCCCCACGTCTCCTACGGAAGAGAAACAATATGGAATAAGACTTGTGCGGAACACCTGGCAATTTAGGAAAGATACTGGAGGAGAGCAGTTCTGAACCCAATTCTGTGTACATTCCAACTAATACCAGGACTTTTTTACTGTGAAATTTGAGAGACTAAGTTTTTCCTTTATTTGCTATCTTCATATTTTCCCCAATTGATAACAAAAGTGTAAAAGAAAAGAAAAAGAACATCCTTAAAGAACCTCAAGAAGGCGTTGTGTTTGCTTATATGATAAGCTAGCATTCTACGTTTCTGTTCTCAGTGAGGCAGAGAAGGGAGACTACCATGGGCAGAAGCACGGAAAAGAAACAGGAAATAGGAAAAGAAACAAAGGCTTTATCCAGGAAGGGAGAGAGGGGGAAGAGGAAAGTGGACAAAAGCTACTGAGATACAGAATATGAGATTCTGATCCCATTGACCTATTGGGCATCCTTTTTTCTCTCCTACCTCTAGTCCAATGTTGCTCTCCTCATCTCTTATGATTCCCCTCTAATTATTTGTGGTCCTCTTTTTTTCTTTTTTAAATCAGACTCGCACCTTTGCTCCCAGATATAGGACCCATTCCCAATCACTCTGCTTTGATGCACTGAGAGTGTCACTCATATAGCAGGCATCCTAAAATATAAAGGTGACTACACGTTCCTGGAAAACATGAGTAGATATAGTAAGCTACCAACGACAGGCTGACTGTTGTAACAAACACCATAAGCACAAAACCCTCATGAGAGAAAGCTACTCAGGTTTAAGGAGGGTCAGTGGAGGAGGGAATGGGAGGCAGAGGGTCCCCGCTCTACCCAGGGATTCAGGGACTCAGGCTTTTTGAAACCTGTTGCTCTTCCACCTTCTGGGTTATATCTTCCTCTATATTCAGCCACTAGCTGGGTAAAGAGAGAAGATTGCTCACGGGCCGTTCGTATTAACTCGGTCTGGGAGTGCGCACGCTTCCACCCACATGCCACAGGCTGGAACTGGGTCAGATGGCTGCGCCCATTCGCTAGGGTGGCTGGGAGATATGACTGTCCTAGTTTCCTAGAATTGCCATAACAAACTACCGCAAACTGGGTGTCTTAAAACAACAGAACTTTATTCTCTCACAGTTACGGAGGACAGAAGTCTGCAGTTAAGGTGTTGTCAGAGCCCCGCTCCTTCTGAATCCTTCCTTACCTCTTCCTCGCTTCTGGTGGTTGGGAGCAGTTGGTCTTTCTTGGCTTGCAGTTATGTTGCCCCCATTTCTGCCTCAGTCTTCACATGGCTGTCTTTCCACGGTGTGTCTCTGTGCCCAAATTCTCTTCTTTTTGTAAGGATACCAGTCATTGGATTAAGGCTCACCCTAATCCATTATGCCCTCATCCTAATGTGATTACAACTACAGAAAGCCCTTTTCTCAAGTAAGGTCACAGACACTGGAGGTTAGGACTTAAACATAACCTTTTTTTGGAAGGGGAGACAGTTCACCCCATGACAGTGGGTTATCTAGCTGGCCAGGAGGAAAAGGGAAATTGTTTGATGCCCTGCTCTCCAATCTCTGCTGAGTCGTTAAGATTCTCTACAAGTAAAAGTGACTAGGAAAGACTTTTGAGGGTTTTAGAGAACTAAGCCTTTATTAAAAACATGGTTTCTATGAAAAATGTATTTTGAACACCAGACAACTTTGACTGACAAATGAGCTTTTGGAAGATAACCTATCTCTCAGATGTAATTGCTAACACTTCAGGGAACTTTATCCTGCTCAAATAATGTTGCAGTTAAAAAAAAAATAGTATGTGTCAGATTTTGTAGTACTATTTTTTTTATACAGTTTATTTAAAAAAATTTTTTTGGTGGGGGGAAGGTAATTAGGTTAATTAATTAATTAATTCTTTAATGGAGATACTTGGGATTGAACCAGGACCTCATCCACACTAGGCATGTGCTCTACCGCTGAGCTATACCCTCCCCACTGTAATACTACTAATTCTAATGATTTAACAGAATAGAGTAGGCTTATTATAATTAATATAATCACCTCTAAACTCCATGCCTGTAAAATATGCTTCACATAAAGCTAATAAAGATTTCACTTTTCTACTTGGGTCACTGTCTTCTCTGCCTGTGGTTTCTGCTCTTGGCATTTTCCATCTAAGTCTCTGCCCATCTTACTTACTGTACTTTATTAAGTGGCTGCTCTTCGTTGAAGCCAGCCATGATTTAATAAAAGAGCAGTGACTTTAGAATCAGAAGAATGTTAGCTCTGTAGGTTATTAACCTTGTTATCTTGGGAAAGGCACCCAAACTGCTTTTCAACCTCAGTTTTCTTACCTGTACTATGATTGATGTAAACCTTTCCCCTGTGTGGTTGCAGGAATCCCCTGAAGTCACTAAACATTTGAGTGCCTGCCAGCTGCCCATATTGTTACAAATGCTTGGGAAATCTCAGTGAGCAAAAAGCTCAGTCATCATGGGTCTTCCATGCTAAGAACCAAAATCAATCCGTTCTAAACTGCTTAAAAATGTAAGGTACTCTCATCACTACTTTTCTGTCTGCAGCAACTCCAGTCTCTCAAATATCTTTAAAAGTCTTATTTGAAATTATGCATAGCTCTTAGATGTCAGAACATACAGAAAATCACCTAAGAAATGAAGAATTTACCCATTAGAAGTTTAACCATAAATATAAACTCATGGTAAATATTGAAAATGTTTTCTTATTGTACTTTAAAGTAAACCTTGGGCTCCTATTATATGCCATACAATGTGCTAGGTTCCATGGGGGGGGCAAAGATAGACACTCATCCTGCCCTCAAGGAGCTTAGCGTCCAATTGGACACATGCCCATGAAAGCCTGCACCACGTGGACAGAAGGGGAAGAATTTCCAGTAGAGAGGCACAGAGAAACTGATAGAAAGCTTCAACAGAGAAACACACTCACACCACCACCATGGGGGTGATTGACATGCTCTTTATATGTAAAGTATATCTTCTAATCCTATAATGAATGTATTGCTACTAGCACCTGTTTATCTACTTGCTGAGATCTTTATTTCACACTTTGAATAGAGGTGTTTACCTCTATGATATGCTGGTCTAGTATGTGTACAATATGTCCACTCTGTAAAGAAGGTATATTGTATAATATTTTGGAAGGAGCGGCCAGGAGGTGGTAGCTCATTGTCAAAACTGGAGGCCTGCATCAGAGCGTTTAAACTGTGTTCTATATATTTGGGTGTGGACAAAGAGGCACTGTTTTAAGAGGCTGATCAAACATAATCAGAAGTTGCTGACTCGTGAAGTAGTGAAATATGAGTACATCTGTTTGCGATTTACATTGTAAAGGTGATGGAAAAACAATGATTAGGTTCCTAACCGGGCTACCCAACCCATTGATTGAAAAACACATTCTGGCATCAAATGAGAATGAAGAGTGTTAGTAAACACATCTCTCCTGTAGTTCCAGTTGCTAGAAAAGTTTTCCTTTTCCCTTCTTTTCCGCCTTTGGGTGTCATAGTTTTTCTAACACATTTGACAAGAAGTGCTCACTTCAGGACCTTTGACCTGCTTTTCTCTTTGCCTAGAATATTCTCCCTCCAGATAGTTGCTTGGCTGGGTGTCTCACTTTGTTCAGGTTTCTAGAGAGCAGAGAGCGTTCCTCAGCTCCGTATCTATTTAGCATCTGTCTCTCATCTGTCTTTATCCTGCTGGTTTCCCCGTAGCCCTGACCACTATTCCTTTTGTTTACTGTCTAGTGCCCCTGTTAGAATAGAAGCACCATGATCGCCAAAAACGTTGCCTGTTTTGCTCACCACTCTGTCCCTGGTGGTTAGGGCACTGTGTCCCTGGTGCTTAGTTTCTGGCACAAGGTAGGCATTCAATAAATGTTTATTGAGTAAATTAATCCAGTTTCCAGGCTGAGGGTGCTCCTAAGAAGGTCAAGTTCAGGGAAGTGCAATGGGGATGGGTGAGGGTGTAAGTGAGGCCTGGAGTGAGGGGGAGCGAGGGAGTAGGAGGATTTCAGGGGGGACTTTGGTGAGGGCTGACAGCAGTGGGGGCTGGGCTTTGAGAGGCTGCTGTGAAAGTTTCTCTAGGGTTTTGTTTTGGAAAAACAGAGGCCTATGGCCTCTCTCCTGTCTGTGGGATCCAGGCATGACTGGTGGGATCGATCTGCTCAAGCAGAAGGAGGGTGGAGGGAATGAGAGGCAGCAGGATAGGATTGACCCCAGATGGGGAAGTGGCCAGGGTCTTCGGGGCAGAAAGGCAGAGAGAAAAAGCCCTCTCAACAGCAGTGAGGGGAGAAGGTGTTTTCTTGCTGTATTTACTGGAAAGATGAACTCCCAATTTTGGTAGCCATTTTCATGTGAGAAGCATTTTTTAGATAGGCTTTTCTGACTTGAAAATTACCTATATTGGTAATAATCATGAGATTAGCAATAGCAATGACACATTTACATAAGTGCCTTCCATTTTCAAAGGGTATTTGTATATGTTATCTCACTGGTTTAATCCTTACTCAGGTTTTACATTTAAATATTCTGTGTGTTATACTTTGAGTTGTTTTCTAGGAAGAGGGATGCATATTCAGTGTGCATATATGTGTATTTGTATAAAACATGTTGGGTTGCATCTACAATTTAACATGTATAAATACACAAATAGGGCCACCTCAGTCCAGTAGATGAAATTGTGTTTCTTGTTATAAAAACAAGCCCGGATTTCTTTTCTTATCAAGAAGAATTCTGGAACTTTATATTATAAGCACCTTAACATCAGGAATTGTGATTTATTCATCAGTTAATAAAGAAAATTAGGTTAGGAAGATTTGTAAGATCAGTTATAACATATTTTAACTCCACAGCTTTCTTATATTTGTATTACCTGAGATGTTGTACTTATATGTCCGACAAAACTTCATTAACTTGTCTTTAATATGCTTTTGCATTGTGCTTGGTTCCTGGAAATTCAGTGATCTCCCCTGACCCAAACACACACACACACACACACTCTGGCTTCAAGAAATTCCTGGCCTGTCAAGAAATGACAGCTGGGTAAACGTGCAGTTGTGCAGTGTTACAGGTGCTCTGTCAGAAGCATTCAGTGAAAAGAGGAGGCACAGAGGAGGGAGTGGTCTGTGTCACCTGGTTGCTGGGGAGCCTGTTGTCCAGGCTTTGTAACAGAAGTCATCCTTGAGCTGAGTTTTGAACAATTATCCCCTGGAATCAAGTGAATAACATCTTAAAAATGTAACTTTTACATTTACTTTAGGATACGAATAGCTAATCCTTTTCCTTGAGTAGCCTCTTCACCGGCTAAAATGTACCTCTTCAGGTTGACACACAGGCAAGGGTGTTAGAGTTTTCTCATTATGCATTGTGTCTGTTCTGTGTTGAAGTACCTGTAGCAAGAAAATTAAGTGGAGGTTTTGTGTGTGGGTGGAGAGAGCTGATCGAATGCGGGTGTGTCAAAAACTAACCAGCAGAGTCCCCAAATTGTTCGAGTCCCTGGCATTTTTTCCCCCAAGGCTTTCTTCATTGTAACCCGTCCCTGGCGGTAATTGGTTGAATCAGATTTAACAATGCAGTCAGATAAACAGTTGTGGCAGCTGCTGCCATAGCAACGTCACCGTCCTCACCCTCCCAGCGCGCGCCCCTTCCCCACCCCTCCTCCTCCTCCTGCTTTCCTCCAGTAAGTGCATCTTCGCTAGTGGTCTGTACAGGCGGCAGGGTTTAATGGCAGAGATATTTTATTTCCAAACTGTTCAAAATGATGAACGAAGATGCAGCTCAGAAAAGCGACAGTGGGGAGAAGTTCAATGGCGGTAGTCAGAGAAGAAAAAGACCAAAAAAGGTAAATTGCTGGAATTAGGAATGTCTGTATATAGGGGTGTGTGTGTGTGAGCGTGTAATGTCAGTGAGGCTTTAGAATCCGTGGAGTGTTGTGAGTAACTATAGAGTATATCAGTGCAAAGCATTGCTGTTTAAAGAGGCAGGTGCAAACGCTGCTTTTTGAAAATAGGAAAGGGACCATGATTCATAATGGATTCGTGGACTGGAGCATGGTGAAGTGAGCAGAGATAAGGTGTGTTCGGCATGAGGATTGTGGCCACTGCTGGATGCCTTTGGTGTTAATTGGGTACAGAGAGGGTCATTTTATTTTTAGAATGGGTGTGTTTCAAAGGAAGTGTTAAGCAAGGTGAATTGGGAAGCAAAAGGAAGATTTGGGGCCAGATGTGTTTGCTCTGTGATGATCTTGAGATGGCTAGACAGCAAATGCCTTTTGGTTCCATGCAAAGTGTCTTCTTCCTAAGGAGAAAAGACTGTTGTGACAGGGAAAATATAATCCCCAGCATGATATTTTCTTTGGTTTGCTTAGCTCCTCTGCAGTTTTCCCAGACACTAATGTGACAGACAGCTCATTCACTGATTAAAATAAACAGCTAACGATATTATGGGGTGGGGGCTGTTGGGCACACAAAGCGGTCTGTAGGATTTCTTACCCTGGCACACATTCCACACCCTTGATTTTCATGGAAATGATACCAGTGAGAAACAGTGGGGAAAGATGTAAACTATTCAGCCCCACCCAATGCCAGCACTTCTTTCTTTATGGCCTGACTCCTGGTAAACTGTTGCAGCCTTACAGAGCCGACTGAGCCCCACCTCCGAAAGAGATGCCTTTTAAATAAAGTCTCCTAAAACCCATTTATTCCCTGAGTCAATAATATGGGCTGGATCTGTGATTCTCATGTAAATGGATTCCAGTAGTAGATGGTATGGGGTTTTGAATGAGCAGGTTAAAAACATAAGGATCCTGAGCAAATGAGTATGTTTTATTTTGATAATGTTGAGATTGCATTGTGCTTCACAATGATAGATCTCTGATGTACTAAATGTCTCATATTTCAAAAAAAACTAAAATAATTCAGAACCTCTGATATTTAAAAAATCATTGTATTAGCAAACAAGGGATTAGTATATTTGCACAATGCCATGTAATTTGATAAAAATAAGCATGCCACATATGACAGCTTTTAAATAATAGCATGAAGATAGTGATGCAATCTGATAAAGGCTAAAGGATAATTCAGGGCAGGCGGGAACATTGGCAGAATGTCCTTCTGTACCTAGGGATTCTGGATCCCCCAGACCTGGAGGGCATTTTATAGAATGTTGCCTAATTGAGCAACATTTTTCTTTTAAAGAAAAAACAATTAGAAAAGAGGAGAGCAAGAGATAGGGAAAAAGAAAGGAAAAGGGAATTTTTGCTTGCATTCACAATATCATTTCAAAATTCTCTTCATTTCTCTCTGAAGTCCCTGTGCTGTATTAGAAACAATATACTCAGAAGTCCTAAAAGGGTGGAGAATGTATCTCAAGGAGATTTTAAACTCTGAGTGATGGCATTAAATTCACACACCTAAGGCATCTTAAAGTATATGATGGGGTCAAGAAGATGAAATTATCATATGTGATAACTATAATATTTTTAAAGCTCCATTTTCCCAAACATATTTATTTTAGGGGCAAATTTTTTTCCAAACTTGCAGTCAAAATGGTAGCAATTAATCGCAAGTTTTGAATGTGTTGTGTATGTTTGTGCCTACATGAAGAGGCATGTATTAAATGAGCTGTTAAAACACGGTGCAGTTTGAGAGTTAAAAGTAATTTCACTCCAAAAGAAAACACACACACACAGGTGAACATCCTTCAGCTGGGCAAGTCAGGTGTAAGTGGGTTTGAATCTTAACTCTCCTTTATATGGCGTGTTTGGAACCTATCAATTTCTCTGATCCAGGTCTTCATCTGTAAAATGTGAATAATTATGTATACTTTCGGTATTTTGTAAGGTTTGGAAATAATGTATATAACATTTTTAGAGCAGTATGTAGTTGATGATAGTAACTTTAAGGTTTTGTTGCTGTTCCCTTAAATAGAAATTATTTATTGGAATAAACCATGTAGAAGGAAAGTCTACTTATATTTTAGAGAGAGGTAGAATATAATACTGGTACTTCGCAAAGGCTTGTAGTCATTTTTCAAAATGTTGAAAGTTATGGTCTATAATTGGAAACTTTTTATCTCATACAAATTCTTTTTTTAAAATTAATTTATTTTTTAATAGCAGTACTGGGGATTGAACCCAGGATCTCGTGCATGCTAAGCACACACTCTACCACTGAGCTATACTCACCCACCCCCTCATATAAATTCTTGAGATTTACATAAATGTACCCTAGGTCTTTAGATTCCCACTTCACATCTTTTACATAGCAGGCAACTTAAATTTTCATATTTAGAAACTTCTAAATTGTCCAAGCCACGAAATACAATACAATGCCCTCTCCTGGTAAATTTAATAGACCATTAAATGTGCTTTGTTAAGGAAATAATAATCAAGAGATAAGCATCCCTAATAAGGATGAAATCTGAGAAAGAAAGTCGAAGAATTGGAGCAAAGTCAATGTCCTCTCACTTCGATTCTATTGTCTGTTTTTCTATGAGAAGTTCGTATTGAATCCACTGTAGGATTCTACATAAGCATCCAGGATTATGGACCACCAGGATCACTGTGGCCTGGGTGTTGATCTTACACATTGAGTCATATTTTTTTAATATATGCCTCTTCCTCAAGTAAATATTTAACAGATGAGCCATAATCCTCTTGTTTATTCTATACTTCATACAAGGAATTCTTCTGAGGGACAGAACTAAAGAGACCTTTGCCACAAAACCCACATTGTGAGAAAATAAGTTCAAAGAGTTTATTTTATGTTAGAGTTTTAGTATCTGGAAGACAGAAATTCTTTCAGCTTTTCTTAAGAATGTCTGTTCTGACTTCAGTAACTGAGCTTGTCAATGCCCTCCATGAGAAGACCACCGGGACACATCAGGGGTTGGGTGTTTTGGAGTTACAACTCACTGCAGTGATGGAGGGTGCACATCATGAGGAGCCGAGTTAGCAACCACTCACTAGATTTGGGCTTTGAATGAGTGATTTGGGGGAGAGTCCAAGAAACTGGGGGCTCACTCTGGGTTGGGTGCTCTCAGAAAGCAGGAACAGTTTTAGGATCTTGTATCCCAATAAATCTGATCTCTAGGATGGCAGACTAAAGCTGTAGTTGGTAAAGAAGCAGCAGCCTTTCAGTTAGCAAGAGAAGTGGGTGTCTGGTAGTTTTGGCTTGGACGATGTTCATGTTTTGTCTGTATTTAGACATGATAAGGGAGTGGTGCCATTTTTGTCCTGCTCCTTCATGGTCACAGGGTGGTCTGATCTGATGATGATGCTCTGTGAAGTTATTTACGTTCAACAGTGAACACCAAGGTCAAGCTGATAGTAACAGGCCAGCTCCTGGATGTCAGCAGCTGCTTTTCTCTTTCTCAAGCTTGAACACAAAGACCCTTTGGAGAGAGAGAGACAGATTTGCTACTGGATGCTCCTTAGTGTCCAAGGAAAACAAATCAGATAGCTTTTTTGCTCAAGAAACCTTTTTCATCTAATGCTTTAACAAAATCATTTCCTCAAGGCTCAGTTATTTCACACAAATAAATATTGCCTAAGGTGCAGGTTTGGGATTGGTTTTCCAGTGATGGTTCAGTGGAGGAGAGGATATGGGAACTACTCTCTCACCTGAATCCTGGACTACAAGGAAGCATTGGGACCTGTGTGAAATATATCAGGGTGGATTTTTAGCCTATTCTAAATCCCAGGTGACTCTATAAAAATTTCTTCTTCTGGACACTATTTTGGCAGATTAGATTAAAATAGTCCAAGGCCATATTAGTGTTCAGTAATTGACACTTTCCAATTATGTATCAATGACATGGCAGTGGGTTTGCACTGGAACAGGTCTAGGAGCCTTTGATAATTTGCATAAAGGATGATGGAAATGCCTGAGCATCAGTCACACGTGACAGAGCTGTGTGAAACCACTAGGCTTTGTGAGTTCTTCTAAAACAGGTAAATAATTAAGTGGCTTTATTTCCATTTTCCTCATTTGGTGGAATAGCTATATAAAGATTAAAATATAAGTAAGTACTATTGTTTTTAACAGAGTTATAAGCTAGAATGACAGAGTTATAAGATAGAATTCTGTAAGATAGAATATAAGATAGGATATCCAATATTCATTTAAGAAGTTTTGATCTGGAGCATTGTTTTAAAATATTTATGAGCAGTGCAAAAATATTTTGATGTTA